ACAGAAGCATCTGAAGCGTAGCTGAAGAATTTGTATGAAGAGTTTCAGGCACTATTTTCAGAAGACTCTGGAAGTACTTCACGCTGCAAGTACAGAGGATCTGATCTTCAAACTCTGCTCTGATTGATATTCACGCTAAAACACATTGGCTGCAAAACTCTGATATCATCAAGAATCTGATGTGATAACTTTGAGAAAGAAGCTTGTTGAAGAAGATGCTATTCAAAATATATCCGTTGGTATATTTCTTGTCCTTATCTAAACGACTCTTTCCTTATTTATGATAGACACAAGAATTCAGGCAAAAGGCATTTATCTGAACATTCCTCTTTTGAGAAAGGAAAAGTCATTAGAAGACAAAAGGTTACAGCTATTCTACTATGCACGGTCTTCAAGCATGGGACTTTCAGCACTATATAAGGATGCCTTCAACAACACTTCAAAGTTAACGTTTTTGACAATTCCTGATATTATTCACAACTCTCATACAAACGTTCATACTCAAAAGCTGAATATTTTTATTCTTAGTTCTTAATACTTGTGTAAAATATCACAGTTGTGATTAAAGATTTTTAGAAGCAATCTTCATACACACTTGTTAGTTTTACATTCATTTGTAAAGCTTCCTTAAGAAGACCAAGTTGTGGTCAGTAGTTCTTGAGAAGACTAAGACAGTTGTTCTTAGTGTTTGACACTGTAATCAGTTTGACTATAGTGGATTAAGTCCTTGTGGAGAAAGACAAATCACTCTTGATAGGGTGAACTGGATTAGTTGAGTTCAACGAACTAGGATAAAAATCATTGTGTTTTTATTGCCATAATATTTTCTAAACCCTTATTCAACCCTCCCTTCTAAGTGTTTTTCTCACCTTCACAATTCAATGCAAAAATGTGATGCTAATGCCATACAATGGTTTCAAGAATTTCAACGGTCGATTGCAAATATTTTTAGGAAAGCTGGAAAAGTTTTTAGACTTTAAAATGTAGGACTTTTTAAATTTGCGAAAGACTGTTGAATTCCTTGAAACTAGGAATGATATGATGCTTTATAGATGCAATACACAACCACAAACAACAAAAGGTCCTACGTTAGAGGGACAATGAATGGAGTTAAGGTCTACCCATCCCCAAAAGGTATGTACTATATGGTAGTTGTACCTACAGAACAAGGTTTTAGAGTGGTGCCCAAAGTCAGCTGTCCATCCTTCGGATATTATCAACTTCCCGACTGACTCGAGGGTCGACAATATTCTCAAGAGAACTTCTTTTGAGTGTAGTATCGCGTAGCAACCATTGTAGGACTACTCCCACATAATTCCTGCACTACGTCCTAGATAAGGCCAAGATGATGTAAAGGTACTACGGTTCCCAGTATCACAGACTCGAATCGATAATAGTAAAAATTTTCACGACTACACTCGTTCAACTGAACCATTTTCGAAAGGGTCTCAACTGAGCGGTGATTCTCGAGTCAGCTTGGTCGGGACTCACTCCCTATAAGCCTCGTCGAATATATCGCCATCCTATAATAATGTCACTCAAGTTCGGGTGTAGGACTTATCTCACAACAACGGTACCCCAAGTAAAGTACAACAGATATACATACAAGAAAATAAATAATAATAAAGCAAATAGCATAGCAAATAAACAAGATAGGGGTAACCCTTAAAAGATAGTTATTCCCCAGTGAAGTCGTCATTTTCTGTTGCGGTGGAAATAAGATATCAAATTAATTAATAGTTTGATATCTTATTTCCACTGCAACAACTAACAATATTGATTAATGCATGTTAGAACAGACTTCGACTATAACATGCATTACTCGCAAACAGACTTCGTCCATACTAGAGTTCGATTCAAAATCTCACAAAAGTAAAGTATAGAATAAATTAAGATATCAATTATGAAAATATATTGTATGACTAATGTAGCAACATGGTCATGTTGAAAAGTGGAAAAACAGAAGAAAAATAAAAAATGTCATTAATTAATCATAGTAACGAGAGGGCACAACCAATGTTATTTTGTTCCTTAATCATGTGTGCACGTTGGTGAAGGATTATTTCCTTATTTTGTAAGAATCACTTAACACTAAAAAAAAGCTGTTAGGAATAAGGATAGTCTTACCCACGACAATCAATTCTCTCTCCGCGTTCCAGCCAAGTCTCACCACTACACAAACTTTACCACCAAAAAAAACTCAAAGTTTAAAACTTGTTTTATTTTAGTTTTTAAATAACAAAAGAGAAAAGATAACGAGAAATATCAAAAAAAAATCTAACTAACAGTAAACAACATAAGATTCAAAAATCGGAGCAGTCTCCGGTGGGAGACCTTTATGAGTCTCTCATCTTGAGAAACTTTTTTTTCCATCTAAATGAATAAGAATAAATTGAAATCAAATTTAATTGAACGAGACTGATTGAATGCCATAAATATTAATTTTAAATGGATAAAATTTATTGTACATTGTGATTTGATTTTAACAGATATATTTTAATTCTGGATATATTTTTTATTTTAATATATTCGAATATTATATTTTGGAATATATTTTTTATTTTAATATATCTAGATATTTTATCTCCAAATATGTTTTTTATTTTAAAAAAATATTGAATATTATTATTATCTCCGAATAAAATTTATTTAAATTATGAATATATTTTATTTTTGGATAATAATAAAAAATATATCAGAAGATAAAATATCTGAAAATAAAATATATTCAATAATAAATCAATTCACAGTCTTCAATAAATTTTATTGAAAGATAATAATAATTATAATAATATTGATTATTACATTTTAATTAAATAATAATATTAATTTTGAAAAGTATATCCAAAAATGAAATAACAGGAGAAAAATATATTTGGAGAAAAATAAGATCATAATATGTAATAGATTTTATTTGGAGATAATAATAATAATAATAATAATAATGATAATAATGATAATAATAATAATATTGATGATGATGATTATTATAATTATAATTTGATTAAATAATAATGTTGATGATGATTATTATAATTATAATTTGATTAAATAATAATATTAATTTTAAAAAATTTATTAGAGATAAAATATCCAGAGATAAAATATATACATTAACAAATCAGATAACAATGCGCAATAAATTTTATCTAAAGATAATAATAATATTAAATATTTATTGCATTCAATCAATCTCGTTCAATTAAATTATAATTAAATTATAATTTTTCCTACATTTCCTATTTATTCATACTTATTTTGAAAATTAATTCACACATAGAGAGACATATAAAGATCTCCCACCAGAGAGAGATAGACACAACACTTCAAAAGATACTAAAAATTGAAAAGATGCAACAAAACAACTAAAAGATTAAACTAAAAAAAAACTAAAACAACATCTCAACGAAGAAACATATTCGACTTCACTAAAACAACATTTTAACAAAAAAACGTGTTCTGGCCTGCGCCCCGGCTTGGCCGGGCAGGCCCAACCCAATGCTACTTGGTTAGACCCTCCGACTTGGGCTACATTCGTCGAGCACATGGTTCCCGCCGGGCAGAACCTTCTCCTTTGTCGAGCAGAACAACGTGTCCTTCACACGTTCTCCACGTGCTCCCCTCTGCGGGGACACGTCATCAACCAACTGCACTCTTCCGAAAAAGCAGGTCAACCCACTTTCCGGAGTCCACGAAGCAGTTGAACTAGGGCGAAGACCACGTTCCGATCTTCACTACGCCATGTAAGCCCTAGCAGTCACCTGGGTTGGGCCTGACAATCCAGCCCAACACAAGTGACCGTTGACCGAGCGCTGAGGTCTCTCTATAAATACCTTCTTCCCCAAGAGGGTCAGAGATTCTCTTCTTACCCATTTTCTGTATTTGTTGTCACTCTGTCCAAGCTCTTACTTTGCCATCGGAGTGTCTTACAGATACACCCCCTATCTCCTTCTCAACATCGGTGAACAGGCAGCAGATCAACGGCGTGAGGCAAAACCAAAACCAAAAGTTACAAATCCGATAAAGAAACCAAAACCAAAACTCTCAATTTATTATTGATTAAGATAGATACAAAATTTTAAGTCAATCATAAAATTAGATACATCGTTCACCAATTTATATAACTTTTTTCAAGCTAAAAATACTTTTGTTTTCAACTTCTTTTTTGTTTGTTGAATAACAAAAAATAATAATAATATTTTGAACAAATTAAATTACCTAAAATTATAATATAATCACTCATATTCTTCGCTAAAAAGAAAATAAACTCGAATATATATATATATATATATATATATATATATATATATATATATATATATATATATATATATATATATATATATATATATATATATATATATATATATATATATATATATATATATATATATATATATATATATATATATATATATATATATATATATATATATATATATATATATATATATATATATATATATATATATATATATATATATATATATATATATATATATATATATATATATAAAAGTGATTTTTATTTCACAAGTATATTTTTTTAAGGTCAAAGTAACTCTAACATTAACTATTATTAATTTTTTCAAAATTATAATATTAAAAGTTACTTTTAATATATATTTCCATAGACATTATGTTCTTAGATTGAGTTTTAATTTCATGATCAAAGAACTCTGTTAATTTTGGTTCCAATAGTTGACATATAAGTCCAAAAAACAGTTGTGCCATGCATATATAATAAACTAAATTTATTTATAATATAGTTGACATAAATTTCTATGGCTTTCCCAAATAACAATAATCTCATACAAATTCAACCAAAAAAGGTCAATATACTTGACAACTATTTAATTAAATTTATAAATATTTAACGCGGAGTTTTTTTCATAATGCTGTCACATGAGTTCTATATAAAGACATTACAAACCAAAAGAAAAAATATTCAATTCCAAAATTTCAAGTTTACACAACATCAAATTCATACAAGAGTTAGCATGGCAATTTTTGAAATTATTTTTACTTTGTTCTTGTTTGCAATAATACCCAGCATTGCCCAAGTAGATGCAACTTTTTCCAAAAGCATGTATATTACATGGGGTGCTCAACATGCATCACTTCAGGGTGATGATCTCCAACTTGTGTTGGATAAAACTTCAGGTACAATAAAATTCTCTATTTATAATTTGAATAATTGTTTATTATTTTATTATTTAATGTATGATATATTCATATTTGATATACATTGTTTTAATTGCAGGATCTGCAGCACAAACAAAGATACCATTCTTATTCGGAACTATTGAATCAAGAATCAAACTAGTGTCTAATAATTCAGCAGGAACAGTTACAGCTTACTATGTAAGTTCAAAATATAAAATAAAAAATAAAAAATTACATTAAAAAGAAAATCAAGTTCTACATAAAGTAAAAATGCTAATAATTTATTTGACAAAAAAAAATTGTGCAGCTATCTTCGACCGGAAACCAACACGATGAGATAGATTTTGAGTTCTTAGGAAACATTTCAGGGCAACCTTATACTATCCATACAAATGTATACACACAAGGAAATGGAAGCAAAGAGCAACAGTTTCATCTTTGGTTTGACCCTTCTACTGATTTTCACAACTATACTATTCATTGGAACCCTACTGAAATTGTGTAAGATGATAATAAACTAAAATTTGTGTTTAATTTTGGTGCACTATTATTATAAATCTCTTTATTAGATCTCTTTCTAATTTTATATACCATGATTTGCATTATTTGTTATACAGGTGGTATATTGATAGCATCCCAATTAGGGTTTTCAGAAACTATGAAAATGAAGGCATTGCATACCCTAACAAACAAGGCATGAAGGTTTACACAAGTTTATGGAATGCAGATGATTGGGCGACTAGAGGTGGACTTGTTAAAACGGATTGGAGTAATGCACCATTTACAGCTAAATTTAATCATTTTAGAGCAAGAGCTTGCAAGTGGAATGGAATGGTGAGTATTAGTCAGTGTTCTTCAAATATTGCTGCAAATTGGTGGACTTTACCAGCATACAAACAATTGGGATATGCTCGATTGGGGCAGATGAATTGGGTTAGGGAAAACTATATGATCTATGATTATTGTGGTGATACTAAGAGATTTAATGGACAAATGCCTCCGGAATGTTTCAAGGCACAATTCTAAATTGAGAAGGAATTGCAAGATTGTTTGAAGGAGTTTTTTTTCTTTGTTTTTTGTTTTGTTTATTATTATTTGTTTGGTGTTAGAAATTTGTGATTTGATTTTATTCTTGTTTTTCAAGAAGTGAATAATAAGATATATTTGTTTGTTAATTACTATTTAAAATATTATGTTATTTTATTGTTGTCTCTATTGTTTTTTTATAATCAGAATATGTATTAATTAAGAATACAAAAAGTATTTTACTTCTAAAGTTATTTACAATACGTCTATGATATTACATGCATAAGTTACAAAAAGTCGGTAGGTGTAATATCCTATATTTTCTTAAATGTTATATTGGATATTAGTTTGAATAATTGAAGCTCTTAAATGCTCTAAATGTCATTAGTTGAGATCAATAGAATAGCTAGTGAATTTTGAAAAGATCAATTATTGATAAAAGAGATAGACCAATATTAAGAACTAGAAGAGATGATACTTTGGTAACTCTAATATATGGTCATTTGGTATTAGATGACAAAATATCAAAGGGATATATTTATTTCATTATATATATATATATATATATATATATATATATATATATATATATATATATATATATATATATATATATATATATATATATATATATATATATATATATATATATATATATATATATATATATATATATATATATATATATATATATATATATATATATATATATATATATATATATATATATATATATATATATATATATATATATATATATATATGGTGGAAAAGAAAAGAAGAAGAATAGAAAGAAAGTTGGTAAGAGAAAGAAGAGAAAAGAGGAAAAATGGAAAGAAGAAGAAAATCTAGAAGTGGAAGAAGAGGAAGTCTTCATCCTCAATCTTATTCATCTTCATCTTATTTTAAAGGTGAGTTCAATTAGTTAGTTTAGCATTGCGGAGAAACAAGAGAATATGGTGGGTTAGATTTTGTGTGGATATGGATTCCTATGAATATGTTGCTAATAATGTTGTTTGTGTTGCTTTGATGCAATATATGTTAAGTTCTTGTTGGAAATGAGTTGGGTAACAGTGGGTGAAGAAAACCCTTTCGGAACTGTCCATATTATTGCTGGAAATTTTGGAAATCATAGGGCTCGCACTACAAGCTCTAGCGAGCTTCAGGTGAACGTGACAATCTGTCATACTCGCACTACGAGCGAATGCAAGGCAAAGGTGAACATTCTCCTAGAGTTCGCACAGCGAGCACTGAGTTCTTTTTCCACTGCCTCTGATTTCATGTCATGTCCAGAGTTTGCATAACGGACTCAAAGTAAAATGACCTCGCCTAGAGCTCGTACAGCGAGTCTGGCAGGTTTTGTTTCTTTTGATTATTTAATTGTTTGGTTGTTTCTCATGCATGATTAATGGTACCGTGGATTGTTTTACTTGTTTATCATGATGGTTATACATGCTTACCATGATTGATTATATGTTCATAAAGGATTAAGAAAAGTGAAGGAAATCATAATAGAATCAACGATCCGCGAATGGGTGATGAATAACACCTTTGTGAATTGGAGAGAAAATACGATAGGGATATGACATGGTGTCATACCCCAAATTTTGACCATATATTTCTCATCATTCTAGGAGCATATCACATTGCATTGTTAACCCTAATATTTTTACATTGCCTTTGCCTTTTTTCATCTGAATTAGGGTTTTGCATCAAGAGGAATCAAGAGGATCTTCACCTGATCAGTCAATGTATTGGATTGATCATCAACCTACCAAGTGTGAACACACTCAAGAAGCCTCTCTCCATGAAGAATCAAGTACAATTTGGTCTCAATACCAATTCATTGAAGCTCAATTTCATCAAGCCCCAAATTAGGGTTTTGTCTAGAAAAGTCAACTGCGCCTTTGACTTTTGATCAAAGCATGATATCAAGCCTTGGAACATGATTCAATACACTCAAATACATCTTTGGATTTCATCTGTGATATTTGAAAAGTTCAAGAATGAAAGATCATTGAAGATCACACAATTGAATTCATCTGATACATAAGCTTTATCTGACAAAGTCAATCCTTTGACTTTTTGGTTCTTTGGTCAAAGTTGAAGTCCTTAAGCCAAATTTCATCAAGACATGCTTGATCATTGAGTTTTAGCATGAAAAATCAAGATTTGAATGGTTTCTTGCAAAAGGGGCAAAGTGGAAGAATTGAAAATTTTCTAAGTATGGGAAGAAAAACCCTAGTTTGGTGTCAACTTTGGAAAGTCATAACTTTCAATCTACACATCCAACTTTTGTGATCCAAAGATCAAATTGAAGCCCTCATGACATAAAAAATTTTAATTTTGAGTCCATCTCCAAAAAGTGCTTAAATTTTGTGTTATGGAGCCATCAAGTTTGTGAAAAAGTTTAAACACTTACAAATTTTTTAAGGCAGATTGTGTTCATCAAAAGTACCAAACTTTGTAGCCAGTTTTCACCATGATCCATTGAGAATCCAAAAAACACTTAAAACATAAAAGTTGTAGAGCATATTCTTATCTTTTCAAAGAGTACAACAACTCATCCATAGCATTTTTGAGCTAGGGTTTTCGAAGAGAGGAAGTTAGCCTTCCACACTTGAAAATTTGGCCATTTTTCATCAAGATGCAAGTTGCAAACTCTAGTGAATTCTGCATAATCCTTGATTACAACTTACATAACTTGCAAATCACACTAAAATAATAAGGTTACACTTGCTTTTGGTGCATTATCCAACTAGTTTTGACTTTGTTCACTAGTTCTTTCCATTTGTGGCATAAAGTTACCACTTCCATTCTCATAAAGCCACTTTTATCAAGAAGTCAAGTTGTCTTGAGATTCTAAATGGTTTATTTTGATCCAAACATTTTCTTTCTACAGAAGAAAGGTGTTTGAAATTTCCAAAAAATCCCTCATGCTTGTACTTGGCATTGGAACATCCAAAATCAAACTAACCATTCCTTGGATTTCAACCAAACCATGAACCAAATCAATTTCAATTCTGCAGAACCTCAAGCCTCACTCTTTCTCTATAAATATAGATTCCTTTTAAGCATCAAACACACAACAAAACCTCAACATTCATACCATCAAAAGCTCCCAAACCAAAAGTTTCCATAAAATTCCTTTTGTGCCAAGTAACCTCTAACTTGCACAAACTTGCAATCTGCCTTTCACAAACCATATACCATTAATTCAACCATCCAAAAACATTACAAATCATCCCTTTAAGGTTTTAAAAACTTCATCTTCCCCTCTAACTAACAAAACCGAAAAGTCAACCCTTGAAACCTCATATTTTGACTTTTTTGCATTTTACAAGCTATGTCTTGATTATGTCCATTTCAAAACCTTCTGATGCCTCAAGCACACCCTAATATATGTCCTTAAGTTGTTCCAAGCAAGCTTTCTTGATTGTAACACCATTTGATGAGGTTTCCATTTTAGTCACTTTTGACCATTTTGCAAGAAGAGGTCATTTTCTGTCCAAGTGGTTTCCTTTTGTTTTCAAGCATCCAAAAGGCTTCATAAAGGTGTATTAGAGGTGTCCAAGGCATTCATTCATTTCTGTAACAAGTATCTTGGAAGTTTGGCTTTGTGCTTCAAGAGGTAAGTTTCTAAAGAACTTGAACTTTGCAAAATATGGTGTGTTTTGATGTTCCTTGAGTTTAAACATGTTTACTATGCCTTATATGTTGTGTTTGAACTATTTTTGTGTGCTACTATGGACTGTATTTGATTTTTCCATAGAACTTGTAAAGTTTGGCCTTCCTTAATATAGTTATCGTGTTTTAAAATGTAGACATCTTTAGGAAAAAACTAAGATCATCATTGGGTTCCCCTTAAAATTCTAGGCAGGTTTGGTTTTTGTTTCATCAAATTTCATGAAGAAATGAAGGAGTTAAGGTAGGTTTTACAAATAACACTAAACCTGAACTCTTGGGCAACTTGGCATGGGCGCCCTCTTCTTGTTCTGGCAGACCAAGCTCCCTAGGAATGTCATTTAATGGTGCGGAATGATACAATAGATGTATCACCACCCCAGTGGGTTAACCTGCACGTGTTAGCACCTTGTCACCACTAAAACTAGGGTTCGAATCCCCCTCGCCCTAGTTTCATTTTATTTTTTTTCTGATTTTCGAGTAGACAACACATATTATAACTTACCTTCCCTAAATGTTCATAGTGCGCGCGTGGTAGGGATGACTAAGGTTTTGAGCCAGAAGCCCAGTGTCATGGGTTCAACATCCATGGAAGATATTTCATTTATTTTTTATGACTTGTTTATTTCACTTTTCTTTGCAATTTTATAACTTTCTCAGTTTTCATCATTTTGAGCCTATTCTTTTTGCAAAATGTTCAATATCATGTCTAGTTTATGTTTGTGATTTTTAATTTCCAAAAATAATCATTTTGGTAACCCTTGTGCATGTTCAAAGTATGTGACCATTTTAGGGTTTCTTAAAGTACTTCTTTGTTTCTTTTGGATGATCATTTGCATTTCCTTGCTTACAATGATTTGTTTACACCTTGTATAATTTCCATAAACCATGTATGTTATTTTGAACTTGTATCTTGTGTTCTTACTTGATTTTCTTGCACTTTTTCAAGTGTATGTTTACATGAAAGTGTATGTTGAACCATGTCCATACCATGAGCCTTTGCTTGACTATTTTACCTTAACATGAAATGTTATTTCCATGTTTACATGACCATAATGTGCATGTTTTCCTTTGTGTTGATTTCACCATGTTTATGTATCCTTACATACTTTAATTTTTGTCTTGAATTTGACTTTCAACACATGCTTGTATGCTTGAACCTTTGTGATGTTCCTACTTGTTCATGTTTGAACCCTAATATCCATGTTTGGTTGTTACCTACTTGTATTAACATGTTCAACTTATACCCATGCTTAACTGTTCAAGTAATGTCTTAACTTGTACACATGAAGTTTGAATTTAAACTTGTCATCTTT